GGTGTTGTGGCGGGCACCTGTAGTCCCCGCTACTCAGGAGACTGAGGCAGGAGGGTCACTAGCGCTCAAGAGTTTGAGGGTGGCAGTGCCTGTGACTCAGTGGTTAGGGAGCCAGCCACATACACCCAGGCTGGTGGGTCCAAACCCGGCCTGGGTCTGCTAAACAATAATGACAACTGTACCCAAAAAATAGCTGGGTGTTGTGGCAGGTGTCTATACTCCCAGCTACTTGGGAGGATGAGGCAAGAGAATCTCTTAAGCCCATGAGTTTGAGGTTACTATGAGCTGTGATGCCACGGCACTCTCTCCAGGGCGACATAGTTAAGACTCTGTTTCAAAAAAAAAAAAAAATGGGCGGCACCTGTGGCTCAGTAAATAGGGCGCCAGACCTATATACTGAGGGTGGCAGGTCCAAACCTGGCCCCAGCCAAACTGCAACAACAAAAACAAAATAGCCTGGCATTGTGGCAGGTGCCTGTATTCCCAGCTACTCAGGAGGCTGAGGCAAGAGAATTACCTAAGCCCAAGAGCTGGAGGTTGCTGTGAGCTGTGATGCCACAGCACTCTACCAAGGGCAACAAAGTGAGACTCTGTCTCTAAAAATAAAAAAAAAAAAAGATGTTAAGGTTGCTGTGAGCTATGATGCCATGGCACTGTACCCAGGGTGACAGAGATTCTGTCTCAAAAAAAAAAAAAGTAAAAAGAAGGCTTGGCACCCGTAGCTCAGTGGTTAGGGCACAGGCCACATACACCGATAGTTCAAACCTGGCCTGGGCCTGCTAAACATCAATGACAACTGCAACAATAACAACAAAAAAACAGCCGGGCATTCTGGCAAGCACCTGTAGTCCCAGCTACTCGGGAGGCTAAGGCAAGAGAATCGCCTAAGCCCAGGAGTTGGAGGTTGCTGTGAGCTATGATGCCACAGCACTCTTCCAAAGGTGATAAAGTGAGACTCTGTCTCAAAAGAAAAAAAGAAAGAAAATTAGTGATGAGTTTCTTTTAAAAAGAAGCCCCATAATACCTGTAGTGCTTTCTAGAATACTTTCCTAATATTACATGTAGGAATTAATATAAAGGAAATACTATAAAGTTTTGCTGTATAAAATCCAAAGTATACTAAGTAGTATCCAATATCAAACTGGTCTCTAATTTCTATTATATAGAGAATGTTCTAAAGCCTATGATAAGAATATGTACCTTTTAAAAATTCATATTATTCCGGTAAATGGAAATTACTATCTGTGGAAGACAGAACAATGGCCCCCAAAGATGTCCATATCCTAATCCATGGAACTATGAATATGTTACCTTAAATGGCAAAAGGAGATTTTGTAGATGAGATGAAGTTAAAGACCTTGAGATGGGGAGGTCTTCCTGAATTATTCAGGTGGACCATATGTAATCACAGGATGCTTCTAAGAGGAAGGCAGAAGGATCAGAGTCAGATGAAGGAGCTATCACAACAGAAGCAGAGGTCGGGGCGGCGCCTGTGGCTTAAAGGAGTAGGGCGCCAGCCCCATATGCCAGAGGTGGCAGGTTCAAACCCAGCCCAGGCCAAACACTACAAAAAAAAAAAAAAAAAAAGAAGAAGAAGAAGCAGAGGTCGGTGTGATGTGGGGCCTCAAGCAAGGGGTGTGAGCAGCTGCGGGAAAAGGCCAGTACACAGAATTCTCTCTGGAGCCTCCCTAGGGAATGCACCCCTATGGGTCAATTCTAGACTTCTGACCTCTAGAACGATAATAAATAAGTAGACTGGGCATAGTGGCTCACACCTGTAATCCTAGCACTCTGGGAGGCCAAGGTGAGTGGATTGCCTGAGCTCAAGAGTTTAAGACTGGCCCAAGCAAGAGTGAGACCCCAACTCTAAAAATAGAAAAATTAGTCAGGTGTCAGTGTAGGGCACCTGTAGTCTCAGCTACTCAGGAGGCAGAGGCAAGAGAATCATCTGAGCCCAAGAGTTTGAGGTTGCTATGAGCTGTGATGCCACAGCACTGTACTGAGGGTGACAGAATGAGACTCTGCCTCAAAAAAACAAAACAAAAAACCCCTACCTCTACTCAAAAATAGAGAACTTATGGCTCCATGCCCGTAGCACAGTGGTTATGGTGCCAGCCACATACACCGAGGCTGGTGGGTTCAAACCCAGCCTGGGCTAGGTAAACAACAATGACAACTCCAACAAAAAATAGCTGGGCGTTGTGGCAGGCACCTGTAGTCCCAGCTACTTGGGAGGCTGAGACAAGAGAACCCCTTAAGCCCAAGCGTTTGAGGTTTTTGTGAGCTGTGACTCCATGGCACTCTACTGAGGGTGACATAGTGAGACTCTGTCTCACAAAAAAAAAAGAAAAAAGAAAAGAAAAGAAAAAGAAAAATACTTAAGATTTTTTCCCCTTCTTTCTTGCCTTCCTTGTCTTTTTTCTTTGACAGGGTCTTGCTATGTTGTCCAGGCTGGAATGTAGTAGCTATTCACAGGCTGGACCATTCCACATTACAGTTCCAAATTCCTGGGTTCAGGTGATCATCATTATGCAGCCTTCTAAGTGGCTGGAACTACAGGTGTGTACCAATATGTCCAGCTTTTGAAGAATAATGTTAAGGACTTTCATTACCAGGATAATAAAGATTTCCCACAAAGCAACAGTAATGAAGGCAGCATGATATTGGTGCTGGAGGACAGACAGACTAGTCGAGGGAAGAACAGACGCACTTCAGTATAATCTCCTGATTTGTGACAATGGCCACACTGAAGTCTTTGTCAATGTCAGTCACCTTACAGGAAACAATAAACCCTGACCCACGTCACACACCAAATAAATAGTTTCAGTTGGACAGTAGATATAAATGTGAATGTGAGAAAATAGAGCTTTTCTCTTCCTGACTGGGATAGGCAAACTTTTTTTTTTTTTTTGAGACTGAGTCTCACTATGTCACCCTCAGTAGAGTGCCCTGGCGTCACAGTTCACAGCAACCTCAAACTCTTAGGCTTAAGCAATTCTCTTGCATCAGCCTCCCAAGTAGCTGGGACCACAGGTGCCCACCACAACATACAGCTATTTGTTTTTGTTGCAATTGTTTAGATGTCCTAGGCCAGGTTTGAACCCACCACCTTTAGTGTGTGTGGCTGGCGCCGTAACCACTGTGCTACAGGCACCCAGCCAAGCAAAGATTTTTTACAATCAGACAACCATAAAGAAAAAAATTATAAATTAGAAAATGTTAAAATGAAGAATTTCTGTTCATCAAAAGACATCATTAGTAGACTGAAAAGGCAATCTAGTGAGAGATAAAAAACGCGATATCCAATAACTGTCTCATATCCCAAACATTTCAAGAATTATTAGCCACTAGTAAGAAAAAGAGAGACAACCTGTTAGAAAATGGGCAGAAGAGTTGACCAGGAACTTCCAAAAAGGATAATCAAATGACCAATAGACTATAAAAGGCAGCTCGTAAGTTATCACAAAAATGCAGATTAAAAGCTCAACCCAGGGCAGCACCTGTGGCTCAAAGGAGTAGGGCCCTAGCCCCATATGCCGGAGGTGGTGGGTCCAAGCCCAGCCCTGGCCAAAAACTGCATAAAAACAAAACAAAGCAAAACAAAACAACTCAACCCAGGCCAGGCATAGCAGTGGCTCACGCCTGTAATCCCAGCACTCTGGGAGGCTGAGGCAGGTGGATTGCTTGAGCTAACAAGTTCGAGACCAGCCTGAGCAAAAGCGAGACCTCTGTCTCTATTAACAATAGAAAAACTGAGGCAAGAGGATCATTTGAACCCAAGAGTTAGAAGTTGCTGTGAGCTATGATGCCATAGCACTCTACCCAGGACAACAGCTTGAGATTCTGTCTCAAAAAAAAAAGCTCAATCCATCACTACTATGTCCTCAGCAGAATAGCTGCAGTGAAAAAAGAGATAATACCAAGTACTGGTAAGGATGTGAAGGGAGAGGAGCTCATACACACAGATGGTAGTGTGTCCAGCTACTACAAGCTGTCTGCCACTGTATATTAACGCAGAACACACACCAGCAGTTCTATTCCTAGGAAT